GGTGCGCCCAGGAGTGCTGACAGGTTACAGGGAGATGCAGCCCTGTGCTAGCAAGGTAGCAAGGTCTCTGCTTAGGTGAGAGTCCAACAGGCTTCCACTCCTCCTGTAGCAGACGGATCTCCTTCACACATGGCCTAGACACTTCTTGTGGTCAAAAAGGGGCCACATGCTAACCTGACCAGCTCAGGAAAGGCCTGTGTGGAAGCCTTGCAAAGTCAGAAATAAAGTAACCACAAACGGTAGTCTGAAATTAAAACTTTTAAGCTAAAAGCAGTTTATGGTGAGTAGTCGTCCTAGGCTAGAATCTTCCCTGACAAAAGTTAGTCTTTACCTTAACTGAGCCTGTCTATTGCTTTTTGCATCTACAATAACGTGACTTCGGAATGTCAGGGTAACTTTCTTTTTCTTGATCCCTCAGGGCACACCCAATGCAGGAGGGCAGAGGCCCTAAATCCTCTCAATGTTATGGTTATCAGGTTAATTGTTTACTCCTAACTATCCAGTACCAACTTGTGTAAAAAGATATATGTGTCCATCATTTTACTTTTCATCTAATCCCAGAGGTTTCCCTACTATGCTTTCTCCCACCTCCCTATTCTATCACCAATGAATTTCATGTAACCTACCTGCATCTTCTCTTTTGATTATAATGTTTAAAATAAGGTGCAAAACTGCCATTCTTGGGAGCATTATCTCAATCCTTTGAGATTTCACTTACTGGCAATTGTCCACAATTTGGCTCAAGTAAAGCCACAAAAATTTTCTGTAGGTCTCAGTGTTTCTTACATTGTCATTCTCAAACTTTTGCTTTTGGGCCAGGTCCTGGGGCAAGTCCTGTAAGTCCTTTAACTCCTGTGCAGGGACCCTTAAGGGAGGAATCTCTTGTGCCCTACGCCCCTAAGGTTCTCCTGGGCATGAGCCTATTGGTTTTTGAAGGCAGACATTTTGTGGGCTCAGCTCTCTGGTGCAGGTCCCCTGAGGTGAGGCACAAACCCCTAGGTCCTCAAGGACGGGCTTGGCATTTCTGATATCCCTCCAGCACAGATACCACTCATGTTCCCATATCTATCTCCCTGCCTGCTGTGCAGTCCTGGGTCACCGCTTAAGTAGTGCTGGCGTCATCCTCCACGTGTGAGTGCTCAAGCTCCTCTGAACTTCCCTCTTCTGTGTCCTGTGGCAGCAACTGCTTTGACTTTAGCTCCTTGTAGCCCCACCTTAAAAATAAATTCTGCACCTCAAGGCAGAATGCATGCTCTGCTCCTCNCTAAGAATAAATTCTGCACCTCAAGGCAGAATGCATGCTCTGCTCCTCCCTCCTCTGTAAGCTCCTGGTGGGTCTCAGGATTGGTTGGATCTTGGATGGGATTAGAAACAAGTGGAGGTACCTAGCCCATGCTTAGATCATGCTGGAGTCATAAAACAGGGAGTTAAAATATAGTGTCTACCTCTGCTGTTGCTGTTCATCAGAGCGTGATCTGGACCACAGTCTCTGCAGCCAGGGGCTAACTGCATAAGGCCTCTGGGCTGTTTTCACTATCTGGACCATTAGCTGGAATGCACTTCCATTCTCCTTCGGTCTCATTCCTTATCAGGTTCCCTTCATGTATGATGAACAAGGCACCACTGGACAGTGTTAGTGGGTCTAAATTCATCTCCATGCAGCCTTTATAACTTTTCCCTCCTGAACACAGAGCAAAGGGAAAACTTATCTCATGCTGGAGATCTTTCTTTACCATCAAAGTTTGGCAACCATCAAGACATGAATATCTATTGCGATCTTTTCTTTCTTTGTTTATTGCTTCATAGTCCCATTTACTTGGAGTTCCTGAGAGAACTCCTGAGCCTAGTTGTGGCCACAGGGCCATACTGAGTCCAGGTGGGAGAATGAGCTTCACTGTGTCACCACTGTGAGACCCTCTCTGACTGACCACCAGCACCATTTCCGATGTGGATGGTGATTACCATCGATGTGACCTGATAGATATGAACTTCCAGGGTCACTTACCCTATCTGAGTTTACAGGACAAGACAGGGCATGCCGACATGGGTGCCTTAGGTGAGCTCTTAGTGATAGTCTTCACAGTGATGTAGAATGTACTTTATTCCTGTTATCTCAGCCTTTTAAACAGTCAGACTTAGTGGATATATGTGAAACCACCACAGATTATGTAAGCAAATCTACAGCAGGCAAATTACCTTGTGAAAGCCCATAAGCACAGCATCCAAGGGCTTAAAAGAGACACAGATGGTTATGAAAGTCACAATCCCCTTATGAAAAATAAACTCTAAGCTTATTAACTGGGATTTGATGTCTATATGAGTCCTCCTAAGTCCAAATGCACTTTCCTCATCAGGCTAATTTTTCTATCAACAATGTGGCCTTGAAGGCAGCTGAGCTTCCCCTTTATTGTAGCCTCATAAGTTTTCCAGAAAACTAAATCAAAACCCCAACTTATCAGAAGAATTAGCCAATATTACCTTAACAGGAAGAAAGGGCCCAGGCCTGATGTTAGCCCTTTCTTCTCAGGTATTTAATCTAATTGGCAACCCTTTTCTCTTAACTCACCCTATGTCTCACTCGTCGCCTGCTCTCCATGTCCTTCGCTTCCTTGCCCTGAAAGCTGTCATCATCTCTCCCCTGGGCAACTGTCATTCATCCTACTCATCTTCCCAATTCCACACTGGATCCATCCAACATACCATGAACCAAGGACAAAGCTAATTATATCCCCCCTGTTTTCTGAGGGGAAAACTTGGATAATTTCTTTTGCTCCTGGAAAAGAGTCCCTAAATGATACATAACTGGGGAAGTGCCATATGTCATGGTCACTTCAGGCTCATGTNTGCATAACTGGGAAAGTGCCATATGTCATGGTCACTTCAGGCTCATGTGATACCAAAGGCCTCCCAGTTTTCTCACACCTGCCACACTGGCATTTCCAGTCTCAGACAAGGTGGTACATCTTCCATGAACAGGTCATTTCTTTTACCTAATAAAATTTTTTCTCTCCTGTATGCCTTGTGTCCTTCATCTTCCTCAGCTTTCAGTTCAACCCTTATGTCTGCAACTCTGAATTGCTGGACAATCCTTTATCTGGCCCCATTATTTGATTTCCCAACAACATGCACACTTCCTTAGTAGTGTTTGTCACCTCAGCTTGTTTGTGTATATATGACTGATGACTTAATTTACTGTTACCTTCCAGGTGAATGTCAGGATCATAGTGGTTTACACTGCATTTAGATTCTTTTTTGTGTTTATGGGTATTAGTTCAGTTGTTAGCATGTAATCCATAGTGATAAAAAATTAGTTGAATGATCTTATCTAATGCTCTGAGATTTCTTTCCCAAAATTGATATGTATTTCACTTGCTTTTCTATTTTTTCAGATATGTGACTTATGTGATCCTATGAGTATGTTTATGCTATCTTCCTCCCCACCATCAACATACATACATACCTTTAGGCTCCTATCAGTGTCCTTGGCATATTTCCAAGCAGACATGAAATTTTATTATATATCAACACAAGACTCCCCAGAGCTTCCCACGTTACTTGTTTTGTCTTTGATTAACTCTGTAAGGTAGGAATAGACCTCTGAAGGGGGGCCATGAATACATTAGGTTCATCACAACTCTTTGAAAATAAGTGATCTTTGTAAGTCACTCACTAACTTCATGTACACATCTGGTAAAGGGTTTGGGCTAGCCATTTACACAAATACAGACACAAACACATTGTCACATATTATGTCATAATAATAAGAGAAATCATTTCAAACATACAGCAAACAATGTCAATGGTTACACTGTAAATAAGCAAGTCAGAGCAGGTCTTTCTGATAAATGAACATGTAAGGAGAGAGTCAACTGAAGGATGAGAGTGAGTCCTACTGATATCAGAGCCAGCACTGCCTGCTGACAGAAGAGCAGGTATAAAAGCCCAGGCCCATAAGTGGTTTGGTGCTTTTATCACTGAGGATGTGTTTGGCATAGGAAAGAAGAAACCGAGAGATGTTGGGTCACACAAAGGTCTTGGTATAAAAGGCCTCAGGTCATCGATTTGTTCAGTAAAAGTAAAGCACAATAATAACCACTGCACAGATAAAAATGGAATTTGTCATGTCAGATGAACTAAAAGTATTTAAAATTGTTATGAAAAGTCCTTTTTTCCAGGTCCCCATGTTCCTTTCCTTGTCTAATTTTTGCTTTTTGTCCTTTTATATTTGTTCTTGCTCCTGTCCTTGATTTTTACACAATTAACAACAAATATTCCTGCCATTCTTACTCCGCTCCCTTTTTCCCTTTCCAATCAGGCAGAGGTTCGTGAGCAAGAGGAGCCTCAGATCAGGATAGGTAGGAGCAGAGGAGCAGCTGCAATGGCTTCAGAAATCTTGGTGGAAATAAAGGAGGAGGTGACCTGCCCCATCTGCCTGGAGCTCCTGACAGAACCCCTGAGCCTGGACTGTGGGCACAGCTTCTGCCAAGCCTGCATCACCACCAACAGCAGGCAGTCCATGATCCGCCAAGAAGGAGAGAGCAGCTGCCCTGTGTGCCGAATCACTTACCAGCCTGAGAAACTGCGGCCTAATCGGCACGTGGCCAGCATAGTGGAGGCCCTTAGGAAGGTCAAGTTGAATACAGAGGAGGAGCTAAAGAGAGATCTCTGTGAGCGTCATGGGGAGAAACTTCTGCTCTTCTGTAAGGAGGATGAGAAGATCATTTGCTGGCTCTGCGAGCGGTCTCAAGAGCACCGTGGCCACCCCACATTCCTCATGGAGGAGGTTGCTCAGGAGTACAAGGTAACAGACTAAGACGGAGAAAAGACAGGGCAGAAAATAGTATTTGATAGGAAATCTCAACTTTGCATTTGACTCTAATTACTTTGCCACCATAACCCTGAGGCCTATGATAACATTTCTTCCTGTGCTCACCTTCCAAGGCCTGAAGGACATTTCTGTGCATTCCACATAAATGAAGAGCATACTTTAACCAGAAGTAGATATTTTTTTACCTTGTCCTTATACATGGAGGTTTAGCCCAAGCAAATCTGGCATTGTCCTGTTGGACAGGAGGGGTAACTGGGGAGCTGGGTGAATGGAGACCTAAGCTTTGTTTTTTACTACAGGATCAAGTTTTTTCTTCTAGGACAAAGAGAATCAGTCTTCTCTTGACATGGGAATAGTGACTTCTGTCACTTGAGTCTTAAAGAACACATTCATCACATCAGATTTCCTTCAAATGTCAGATTCTAATTGTTATTTCACAGTTTCTGTAAACTCTAGTCTCTTCAGAGAGAATCTGTGTTCTTCTCCATTTATCCTGTCTTCTGATGCTGAAAAAGCCCATGGTTTGACCCTGGTGTGATTCCTCTCTCACAGGAGAATCTCCAGGCCACTGTGGACAGGCTGAGGGGGGAGCAGCAGAAAGCTGAGGAGTGGGGATCTGACATCAGAGAGCAGAGAACTTCCTGGAAGGTAGGAGGAGACTCTTCCTAGGGAAGTTAGAAAGGAATCTGGGCAGCATCTTGATTGTTACAAGGAGCCCCCATCCTTGTTTCCTGAGGGTCTGTATGTCCAGATTCATTAAATAATCATTCTTTATTCTTTCACTGATAGAGGTACGGCTGAAAATGAACATGTCACAATGTGACACAGATATTTGTAGGTTAGTTATTCTCATAGAGAGAGTCTCTGGTGAAGATGGGTAGCGTATTTTGTGTTCACTTCTGTCATTATTTTGAGCCTTTAACTCTTCCAGGGGAAGACAACAGCCAATGGCTCATGGCTCTGTCCCTTGTGATCAATATTAAGCAGAGGGTGGGGGTGGGGTCAAGAGTAATCCAGGGAGGCATGACTGCCCTGGGCAGCTGTGTGAGAGCTGATCCACACTCAGGTGTTCAGTTTTGATTCATGGTTGACCTCAATGATACAGACATAAAGGCATTATTTTTTAATGTGATGAAAAGGAAATAATAAGAAAAATGAGCCTCCCCAAGAGTTGCTCCTCTGCTTCCACCTCCCTTCCCCATGAGAACTTCCAAATGAAATACTTCTTTTTCTTGCTCTCAGTCTCTGCTTGATAACCTGAGTTCCTCTCTCTCTTTCTTGTTCCTGAAGAATAAAATACAAAATGGGAACAAATTTGTCCAGTATTATTATAAGCAACTGAGAGGAATCCTGGACAGTGAGGAACAGAAGGAGCTGCAAAGGCTGGAGAAGGAGGAGGGAGATAATCTCGATGACCTGGCTCAGGCTGAGAGTGAGCTGGTCCAGCAGGGCCAGCTGTTGACAGATCTCATCTCAGATCTGGAGCATCGCTTGCAGGGGTCCACAGTAGAGATGCTGCAGGTAAGACTTGGGAATAAGCCCCAGCATCTGAACTTGAGGAAAATGAAGGCTAAGTTTCCTCCTCTGCTGTGTGGCTGTGCTGTTTGTGGTGGTGACACTGAGTTTCCTTTGGTCTTACAGTAACCCTTCCCTGCATCTATTTCAGAGGTCATGGGAATCGTTAAATGCATGATAGACCCAGGAAAATCTCATTTTTATTAATGTATCAATTATAATGCAAAAATGACTGTGTCCAATTATATTCTGTAGGCCCCGTATCTGTGATCTAGCCTACATCATTTTTCAGATACCTCTTCATGATCCAAGAGTTTTTTGGGTTTTTTTATATTCATAGAAAAAGTTGAGATTTTTCTCTTTTCAATTTTCTGAATAAACAATTGTGAAGGATTGGTATTATTTATTTTTCAATTATTCAATAGATTCACCAGTGAAACCGTCTCACTCTGGTCTTTTGTTTTTTGGCAAGTTTAAAATTTTTTCTTTTTTTACTTCTATTAAGTTTTCTTAGGTTTTTTTACATTTCTTGAGTCGGTTTTTGATAATGTAAATTTCTGTAGAAATTTGTCTGTTCTAAGTTGTCAGATATGTAAACATGAAATTAGTTATTATAACTGTTTAGAATCTTTCATTTCTATAGTAGTTATAGTAATGGACCCTCTTTTATTCCTGATTTTGGTGATTTCTGTTTTGTTTTGTTTCTGTTTGTGTGTTTTTTTGGTCAGTTTCATTATATTTGGTTAATTTTTTTAATGATTTTCAAGAATAAATCATGTATGTATTTATTTATTTATTTTTAACCTTTCCTTATTAAATTTTGCTCTCCCATGTGTATGTGCACATGCATACAGGAATGTGTGTGTGTGTGTTTGTTTATTATGTTAACTTGCTGTTCTTTTCCTAGTTTCTTAAAGTGGAAGTTTAGACCATTGATTTGACACAGCCTTTTGTGTTATAGTTTTTAATGATATAAATGCATTGTTTCAGCTATTTTCCATATTTTCTGGTTATTTATTTGCTATTTTTATTCTATTCCACTTAATTTCAAATTTTGTGTGTTTTTTTGTTAAACCTTGTGATATTTCCAACTATGTTATTTAATTTATAAGCAGTTGGTGATTTTTTTCTTTAAATTTACCTTTGTTGTTGAAAATATTACAGATGTCCCCTTTTCTCTCCCCATTGACCACCCCCCCCCCAGGCTTTCACTGTATTATTGTCTGTAATTCTTTTCTAGTCAGGAAGCATGTATATTATTAGTTCAATCTTTTAAATGTATTGACACTTGCTTTATGGCCTAAACTATTGTATGTCAAAAAATTTTTATATGAATTTAAAAAGAATATGTATTGCGTATTCATTGGGTGAACGGGTCTGTAGATGCCAGTTGGTTTGAGTTGGTTGATAATGTTGGCCATGTCATTTACATTCCTGATAATTTTATTTATTTATATATTTTATTTTATTTTATTCTTCTTCTTAAGTCCTTTTAACACTTCTTGTAATACTGGTTTGGTAATGAGGAATTCTTTCAGCTTTTTTTTTTTTTTTTTAAATCTGGGTAGCTCTTTATGTCTCCTTTAATTCCAAATGCTAGCTTTGCTGGGTGGAGTAATCTAGGTTGTAGGCCCTTGCTTTATATCACTTTGAATATTTCATGCCAGTCCCTTCTGGCCTGCAAAGTTTTGGTTGAGAAATCAGCAGACAGCCTTATGGGAGCCACCTTATAGGTAACTAACTGCTTTTCTCTTGCTGCTTTTAACATTCTCTCTTTGTATTCTTCATTTCTTACTGGGTCTTTTTATGCTTTCTGTCTCCTTTTTTATATTTTCTATCTCTTTGTTGAAGTTCTCCTGAGATCATCTATTCTTCCATAAGTTCACTGAGCATCCTTATAACCAGTGTTTAGAATTCTGCATCTGGCAAACTGCTTGCCTCCATTTTGTTTAGTTATTTTTCTGAAGTTTGTCCTGATCTTTCATTTGGGACAAGCTTCTTTGTCTCCTCACTTTGGCTGCTGTTTATTTTTATGTATTAGTTATATCTCCACATTTTCTAATCTTGACAGAGTGGCCTTATGTATAAGATGTCCTTATGTATACAGGGACCTGTGGTACAGTTTCCCTGTTCACCTGAGCCATATGCTCCGGGAGTGTCCCTGTGTGGGTTTTGTATTCTCTCCTTCTATAGTTGAGCCTTGATTGATCCTCAGTCTAAGTGGCTGATAGGAATGGCATTGACCACAGTGAACAAGCTGTTGTACAGAGACTGACTTTTTGCAACAGATTCACTTTAGAGGGTATCTAGTGCCTTCTGAGTTACCCTTTGGGTGTGTCATTTGTGGTGCTAATTTGGTGGTACTTTCGTATGGTCTGAAGCTGGCTACCACGTGTGTTAGTTGTGGGGCTTCTTGGAGGAGCTATGGTGTAGGTCAAGGTCAGCCACTCCCTGTGTCTGGTACAGCACCACCTGGTAGGAGTTACAAAGTCATCTGTGTTTCTGGTTGCCAGTGCTGGGCTTGGAGGTACCTTGGGGGGGCCTATGCTGTTAACTATGGTCAGCTGCAACTACTACCTGACTGGGGCCACTTAGTAAGAGGTAAAGAGCATGATGATGTCAGACACTGCCTGTTTGGTGTCTGCAGACCTTTGAGAAATTTTAGGGAAGTCTGCTGCATGGACTGCCAGCCACCTGTGTGGCTTAGAAAGAGATTCGGCCAGAGGTTTGAACTGGGTGTGGTGGGGTCTCAGTATCACCAGGGTGGGTCCAGAGTGTTGTTAATTGAGAATCAGATTTGTTTCTTGCCTGTGTCTGCAGGCTGTGTAGAGGAAGAGCTCAACAAGGAATAATGGTGCCAGCTGGAGCTTTAGTATCTAGGAGAGTTGCTTCAACATCACTTTATATTATTCCAGCAACAACAGAGTGATGCTTTTAATATAGGCACTTGATTCAATGCAGGAGAATGCCATGCAGGCCTCAGAATTATTTTATATAACTGGGAAGACAAGTTCTCTATTTTGGGGAACTTATACAAGGAGATTCATGTTTCCTTCATGAACTGAGCATAAAGTCAATATAGTAGGCATGAATAGAATATGGAGAATGACATAGACCAGATGCTGATGACAGTGTCTGAGCTTCAGAATTAAGCTTTGATTAAAGTTACAACTGTCCCCCAAATTCCTTTTCTCTACTTCATCTACTTTTAATTGTTTTTTGTCATATATAAAAAAAAAAAACCACCCAAAAAACCCTAATGCAGAGAGCAAAGCAGTTTTTTTGCATGTGTAGACCCAGTCGTGGGCCTAGTTTTTGGTGTCATGGAAGAAGTTAGTCTGAGATAAAGGAGATCAAATGNTAAAAAAAAAAAAAACACCCAAAAAACCCTAATGCAGAGAGCAAAGCAGTTTTTTTGCATGTGTAGACCCAGTCGTGGGCCTAGTTTTTGGTGTCATGGAAGAAGTTAGTCTGAGATAAAGGAGATCAAATGTATTGGTACATATCTGTTCAAGGAAGTAAATCTGTAATAATAAAGAAGTTCAGACAACTTAAAACAGTTAATGATGTGAACTAAACTGTCTTGTTAGAGACTGAAATGCAGTAAATATTGTAGTGTTTAGGATAGTGGTTGAGTGGATATTGATAACATGGACAAAGGCGTATAAGGGAGGAGACAGTTTGGTTAATGAAGTATAAGGTACATTTGAGACATTCTAAGTTAACGATTCCGCTGGGTTCTTTATTAGGGATTATATTAACCTGAATTTAAAAGACAAAATTGAGTAAATATAGACTGAAATCAATTGCACTTGTGTGTGTTGAATTTAGGGAATGGATGAGGTTAATTATAGATAGTGTATAAAATGGGCTAAGACTTGAGAAATTCCAACATTAATACATGTGTTTGCTTGTACCCTCAGCAGAAACCAGGTAAACTTCTTGAGGAATACTATAACTACTCATCTTTGCTTCTCCCAGTTAGGGCATAATGCTTGACAAGTAATAGTGCATCATTTTAGACTCATGTTGAGTAAATGAACAAACCATGAATTATTCAAATCATCTCATGAGAAGCCTTATGACCATGGAGAAAATACCATGGGCCTCATGATTTCCTACTTAATATATCTCAGCTGCAGGTACTGGAAGCTCAAGCTTGGCTTCTACAAGGGTCAAAGTTATTTCTATATTTTAGAAAACCTGACAACTTCACATGAGTCTTCTGAAATAATTCACCTAGGTCTTTAATTTTTGGTTTTCACATTCAGACCATCTGTATTACATTGGGACCATCTCTATTCTCACCATACAGACGGTGATGGGGATGTGATGAAGCTATGTAAGTGAGGAGAGCTTATTACTTCTCTTTTTCTTTTTAAGCTTTTTATTTTATTTTATTTTATTTATTTATTTATTTATTTATTTATTTATTTATAAAAATCCCCCAAAATATTTTATTTTATTTTTATTTTTTTAATTTATCTTTATTGTTGAAAGCACTACAGATGTCCCATTTCCCCCCCCAATTGATGCCTCCCCACACCTCGCTCCCACCCCCTCCCCAGGCCTTCACCCTGTCACTGTCCATGTCCATGGGTTATGCATATATGCATATAACTTCTTTGGTCAATCTCCTCCCACTCTCCACCCCCCTCCCTCTTCCCTCTGAGATATGACCGTCTGNTCTCCAGCCCCCTCCCTCTTCCCTCTGAGATATGACCGTCTGTTGCACTCGTCAATGTCTCTGGATCCACTTAGTTTGTCAGGTTCTTTTGTTCATTAGCTTCTTCTTAAAGAAGATCCTTCAACATTTCCTGTAGTGCTGGTCTGGTGGTGATGAACTCCTTTAGCTTTTCTTGTCTGAAAAGCTCTTTATCTGACCTTCAAATCTAAATGATAGCTTTGGGAGGTAGAGTAATCTTGGTTGTAGGTTCTTGCTTTTCATCATTTTGAATATTTCTTGCCACTCCCTTCTGGCCTGCAAAGTTTCTGTTGAGAAATCAGCTGACAGTCNTGCAAGATTTCTATTGAGAAATCAGCTGACAGTCATATGGGTGCTCCCTTGTAAGTAACTAATTGCTTTTCTCTTGCTGCATTTAAGATTCTCTCTTTGTCTTTAACCTTTGGGATTTTAATTATGACATGTCTTGCTGTGGAACTCTTTGGGTTCCTCTTGTTTGGGACACTCTGTGCTTCCTGGACTTGTAAGTCCCCCGGTAGGGGAAGTTTTCTGTAATTATTTTTTCAAACAGGTTTTTAATTTCTTGCTCGCTTCTCCTTCTGGCCTCCCAATAATACAAATGTTGGGGTGTTTGAAGTTGTCAGACACTCCTTACACTATCTTCATATTTCTGGATTCTTTTTTCTTTTTGCACTTCTGGTTGGGTTGTGCTTTTTGTTTCCTCATTTTCCAAATTGCTGATTTGATTCTCAGCATCCTCTACTCTACTCTTGATTCTCTGTAAATTATTCTTCATTTCAGTTTGTGTAGCCTTCATTTCTGATAGGTATTTTATTAGGTCATCAATGATCTCACTTGTTTTTGTAATAGTCTTACTAATATCTTTGACCATTCTTATAACCAAAATTCTGAACTCTGCATCTGTTAGCTTGCTTGGTTCTATTTCATTTAATTCCTTTTCTGGAGATTTCTTCTATTCTTTCCTTTGTGACATGTTTCTTTGCCTCCACATTTTGGCTGCTTCCTGGTGTTTGTTTCTATGTATTAGGTAGAGCTGCTATGTCTCCNATTCTTTCCTTTGTGACATGTTTATTTGCCTCCACATTTTGGCTGCTTCCAGGTGTTTGTTTCTATGTATTAGGTAGAGCTGCTATGTCTCCTGGAATTTGTAGAGTGGCTTTGTGTAGTAGGTGTCCTGTAGGGTCCAGTGGCTCAGCCTCCCCAGTCACCTGAGCTGGGCCTTCTAGGTGCTCCCCTGTGTGGGCTGTGTGCACTGTCCTGTTGTAGTTGAGCCTTGGTTGCTGTTGGCATCACTGGGAGGAACTGACTCCAAGGCCAATCGGCTGTGAGGACCAGTTGCAACTACAGTCAAAGAGCTGCTGTGCTGGAAACATCCCTATGGAGCAAGATTTACTTCAGTGGGGCTTTGATGTTTACCAAGTGTGCCCCTTGAGTGTGTCACTCATGGATGTGGT